GATTGCATTTTCCGGATGAATTACCATTACTAGGCTACTTTGTGTTTCGTTTGTGAAAATGCGTCTTATGGTAAACCAAGATTTGACGTTATCAGGTTAAGTGAAATATTTGTAGTCACAAATGCTAAAGGATTTACTGTTGATTTCATACCATTATTTGATAAAAATTCATGCAGTCGAAGTTTTGATATTGATCTTATGAAGAGAGTGTGGTTAACAAAGTACTTGCGCCTGTTACCCCTAATAGATGAGCATAGGATTCCCACCAACACTCTCCATCCAACTCTCTTCTAAGCCATCCTTTCCAGCTGCTATTCAACCTTTTCATGTCTGCTTCCGATTCCCGATGAAGTGTGTCCTTTAGCCCTCCCATTTTCCATTTCCTTTCACGATTCCGAGTTGGCGCTTGCCTCGTGATGCAGTTTGATGACTTTCTCAATATGTGTCCTATCCACTTCAAATCCCTTTTCCTGATTTCCTCCTCATTTGGAACCTGATTTGTTCTTTCCCATAGTAGGTTCATGTTGATGGTATCCAGTCAACAAACATTGAGTATCTTGTGTTGACAACCGTTTATAAATACTTGTACCTTCTTGATGATGGTCATGGTAGTTCTCCAAGTTCCCTCTACATACAGTAGAACTGTCTTGATGGTCGTATTAACATGCACACTTTGATGATAGCTGACAGCTGTTTTGAGTTTCACATGTTCTTCGATTGTAGGAATGCTGTCCGTGCTTTGCTAATCCGTGCCTTTACGTCTGCATCAGATCCCCCACGTACATCGATGATGACACCCAGGTACGTGGAAGATTCCACATCATTCAGAGTTTCACAATCAAGTGTGATTGTGTTAGTTGGTGTTCTGCGTTTTGTATTTGAGGATCATAATTTTTCTTTGCGTATGTTGGAGCCTACTGATGCAGATGTTGCTGCTATACTGGCTGTCTTCATCTGCATTTGTTGATGTGTATGGGATAAAAGTGCCGGGTCATCTGTGAACTGCAAATCGTCAAGATACTTCCAGGCTGTCCATTGTATTCAGTGCCTCTCGGCAGATGATGAGGTCTTCACAGTCCAGTCAACCACCAGAAGAAAGAGAAAGATGGAGAGTAGGAAGCCTTACCTAATTACGACCCTTACTTGGAATGCATTTGTCAGCTTTAGTCCATGCACTAGTTCCAGTGTAGTCCATCGTATGAATTCCGGATGATGTTGACGATTTTCTCATATACACCCTAGTGTTCAATAAGTTTCCATAGTGTTCTCCTATCCACAATGTAAAATGCTTTCTCATAATCAAAGAAGCTGATGTGTAGAGACGAGTTCCACTCAATTGACTGTTCAAAGGTGCTCCACAGTGTCGCGATTCAGTCTGTGCACGATCGATCATTACGGAATCCAACCTATTGATCTCGATGTTGGCCGTCTCCTGAGTCTTTCATATGGCTCAGTAAAACCCTGTTGAAAACCTTTCCTGGTATTGACAGTAGTGTCATGCCTCTGTAGTTCTCACATATGCGCAGACCTATCTCTGGTATCTTGATGAAATATCCTTCTTTGCAGTCCATCGGCACTTGTTCTTCCTCCCAAATCTTCCTGAATAAAGTGTGGAGCATGCTTGAAATTACTTCTATTTCTGAAGTTAGTGCTTCGACTGGTATACTGTCAGCTCTCTGGCTTACTATACTTCCCTTCCAGTTTCTTCGTTATTTCATACAGCTGTTTCATCTTTCCTTCTCTTGCAGCTTTTTCCAATATCGTTGCTAGCTCTCCCACGTATTTCTTCTTGTCGGCTCTATTGCTCTTCCTTTTTTCAATTTTGTGCCGGGTTTCGATGGAGATCCATTACTTATGATGATGCTTCTTGTGGACCGACACCTCCTGACACGTTGAAATTAGTGCTTCTTTGTTCCCTTCCCAAATATCTTCCATAGTAGTAACTTCTTTGAGTAAATCCCGTAAGGCTTGGAACCTGTTGTTCACGGTTATCTTGAATGCGTTCATTTTGCCAGTATGTCGAAGGATGGCCGTATCGAACCTTTGTAATGCTGTTTGTCCAGTTGTCCAATGCTTCTTTAGTTTCAGCTTCATATCGGCAACTACCAGCTGGTGGTGATCTGAAGCTATGTCAGTTTCTCTCCTGGCTCTCCATGGTGTGGTGCATTGAGACCAATGAAGCATTGTGTATGTGTTTGTGTGGGAATATCGTGCTACCTATAACCACTTTGTTGAATGCACATAGATTTGCGAATCTCCCCCCATTCTCATTCCTTTCTCCCTGTCGATCCATGTCGTCCCGTGATATCTTCATATCCGATGTTGTCCATTCTGATATTGGTGTTTAGATCTCTCATCACGATTGTCAGGTCCTTTCCTTGGCACTTCACTATGATCGATTGTAGCATCTCGTAAAACTGATCATTATTGTCGTCGTTGCTATCATTGGTCGGTGCATAACATTGGATGACATTCATCGTGATTCCCTCTCTCTTTGTTTTGAATGATGCTTTGATGACCTTGGATCCATGAGATTCCCATCCTATAAGTTCATTTCGTGCTTCTTTAGACAGCATTAGAGCAACTCTTTGAGTGTATGGTGTATTTCTCTCTTCGTGACCGGAGTAAAGCAGCATCTCTGCCGTATCGAGCCTTTGCTCTCCAGCTTGGGTCCAATAGGTTTCGATGATTTCGAGAACCGCCAAGTTGTATCTCCTCATTTCCGTAACTATTTGACTGGTCCTCCTGATCTCCCATGTTGTGCTAACGTTCTATGTACCTATAAGAATTGCTAGAAGGGGCATCGGCCTCGTGACTTCCGAAGAATCTCGGCTTTCATCATGAGGCGCCATAATTCTTCCTTCAACTCAGAGGGCAGAGTTTAAATTGTATATTCTGGTTAGGGTTTTTTAAGTAAGAATGCTTTCTACTTGATGGAGTTGCTGAACCCATGTCCAACCTTCCTCCTTTAACCGGACTTGGGACCGGCAGTAACCCTAGAACAGCTACAGGAGTTACTCAACTAAATATTTTCAGCGAAATACGGATAAAAAATATTTAGATTGTGATCTCCTATGAATTCCATTCCCAATCATTGCCTCCTATTTAAACTAATTAACTGGTCCATTTGTAGTCTACTACATCATTACTCTATGATGTAGATTCGATTTGTCATGTGGTTTGTCCAGACAGTGAGGAAATCTTCATTGTACATTTAGCTCGGAGTAGCTTTCAACACTTGTAATTTGTACTGGAACATAACTTCAAGACGATATTAGTTTATAAAATAAACTGTTCTACCACTTACGGTAGAGCATTTTCGTTTTTCGATACGTAGAGGAAATAAATAGTTCTGTGGTCCCTTACTAGAAGATTAATAAATGATAAACTATCTCTTTCTTATGGCCCAAACACAATGTTGTGTATTTATGAATTACTCTCAATCTTTAAAAGTATTTAGATAACTTCACTTTATAAATCTTGACGTTTTATGATGACTCACATCATTTTATTTATAGCACTTAGATATTCTGTTTCGTTTTTTCTCAAAAGAAGACTAATAAATAACAATTGCGAAAATTTGATAATCGTATTATAATAGAAAACCTCACGCCTTTTGAATTGGCTACCATTAAGTATTTAATAGAAATCATGAACCTATCGAAGTTAGATCACCTGGTATAAGAATCCTCACCCGTTCGCATCCACGACTCTCTACTCTAGAATTGAACCCAGGGCCTTCGGACTCGCGCACGAACGCTTAATCTCTAGACCAATGAGTCAGCACCTAAAGGTGTTAATTTTCAACTTCGATCAATCCATGACATTGCGTGACCGTCTTCTATTGTTTTTTTGGTGGGGGGTAACGGTCTCACACTCAAAACGGTTCATTTTCTCTGGCCACAACGTGATCAAGGAGTTACTTCGCAACGCTATCGCATTATCATATTACAAGTTTTAGTTCTGACTCATTGGTTACTACTGTATATTTCATTGCAACTGGTGAACTTCGATTAGCGACCAATGTCCCGCTTGATTAGTAGATCTAACAGCCTTCAATGCATTTCTCATTTATTGTATTTTTTATCCGAAAATTTGGCTGTATAAATAAACTAGACGTGCTTACTACCAACATTACCCCCAAATCCCCTGGTAAGGCTGAGAGTAGGGAGAGTCTGATCTCCCTCTCGAAATTCTCTCACATGGCCACGCGTATATAGCCTCTACCAGGTAAGTCCTACTCACTGCCTTCTCGCGGTGGGGGTGTTGTTTACCAAATTGAGAGGACAAAAATCGAATGTCCGGCCCTTTAACCGGGTTGATGGACATGGAGAGTCCACCTAGGGGAGTTGGAAAACCCTCATTCCCAAGCAATGGTGCACATGGACTCCAGTATCCTAAAAGGACGAATGGCGTATGAACCAATCGTTGGTCACCGGCAACCTTGGGACTGCATCTCCTTACGTTGTTCCACTGCCTTGTGGATCAGACCTTCATGTCGAAGGCTCCGAGTGTGGTCCCCTAAGAAAACCACCCGCTTCGGTTTTGGCACCCTGGCAGTATCACAGCCCTCACACATATCAAATGAGATTTGTTTGGCGCATATGTATTTGGTGCCTCTTTGTACCAATATCTATGTGTTAAAATAAATAAATAAACTGCCATCATTAATATAGAGCCTAGCACAAATGTGATCTGACCCAGGTTTTCGCGCACGTGTGATTATCTTGTAAGATCATTTTAATTGTCCATTTGTCGGAAGGAAATGTTCGAATGGAAAGTCTGTCACTCATAAAACATTTGCATTTCAGTCAAACTATGATGTAATGGGTATAGTTTTATAATATAAATTCTAAATATATCACGACAGTCTGATTGAAGTATTTATTTTCCGGATTATGTTTTGATTTTCTGTTCCGTTTAACTTGAATAAATTTTGATAATTTACAAAGACATAGCTAGTATCCGAGAAATAATGTTGGTATTTTCTGTTAATATAGGGTGGTATCATACACCATGAACTGACACCAGATTATATGCTTACAAGACTTAGGAATCGTTCGGTAAAAAATAGTTTGGAACGAATTTTTAACGAAATCAATATCATTCGTAATGTTGGCAGCCCTGGTCACCTTCAAGTTAGAGATGTAAGTGTATTAACACAAGTTTAACTAATTTACATGAAGTTTATTAAAAATTATCTAAACAAGCGCGGTTGGGAAACTGATTTGGATACTTTTGAAGAAAATACAGTGGATGGTGTTAAAACATTTCACAACATTATTGGTTACAGAAATGACCCAAACTATAAAAAATATTTGATTTTGGCTTGTCATTATGAATCAAAACTTCTTCCTAATTTTGTTGGATCAACAGATTCAGCAATGCCTTGTTCAATAATTTTGAAAATTGTCGATCTACTAAATTATGGGATTAAAACATTGAAGGTATGAAACCATTTCTTTGTTTACTTTTTGTGATTATTATAAATTTTTTATTAATTTAAGCCAGGTAAAACATTATTCACTTTTTTCGACAATATAACCGAGATATTGTTTAAAATAAACCCTGAGAAATAATATTTTAATCAGCAATATACATAAATTTTACTTAGAAACCGTCAAGTTTACACATGTAATCCAATTACACTTAGTCAGGAGTTGCTAACAGAGTTGTTCATGATACACACCTTAATTATATAAACCTTAACGGACTAATAAAAGTAGTTCAGTTTATGAAATAAAATATAGAATTGACAAAAACGTTTTGTACTTAAAGTCAATCAAATTCCGACAGATACAAGTAAAACTCTTGAGAATCGTTTACTTTTATCAGCCAGTATTGTCTATAAAGATAAATAATCTCTTAAAAAATATAACAGGTGACTGAAACACCTTAATATTGGCAATAACGTATTCTTCTAGTGGTTTTTTGGCCTAACTTGATACTTTCAGGTTTATTCGGATATTAACAATTGCATAATCCTGCCAATATCATTTTTGAAAGAATAACGTCACAACTTCATATAAGGATATCAAAAAATCAGCCTACAACTCCAAAATCATCTTTAGAAACCCAGTGACGAATCATTTTCTTAAATATGAAAAATACCTCCGAATTAAACACTAGGGCTTGTTAACCTCCTAAAAATAGTTTTGTTTGAAAATTGACATAAATACTTCATTTTACTTTAATCTGATCAAAGGACGCAATAACTAAATAATATATTAAAATTAAAACACGAATTTCAGCGAAGGGATCTCGTTGAAAAGAGATCCCTTCGCTGAAATTCGTGTTTTAATTTTAATGTTTTAAATGGAAATTATCTGTCAATTAAATAATATATGTCCTTCATTATTCAAGACCTGTTTCATGATCTATAAAAGGCGTTGGATTAGATGAAATCGAGGACTTCTCCACATACATGTGGATAAGCAGTTACAGTTATCATCACTTATATAAATAAATATGGTCAACTATGGACTTTAAATTTTTTAAATAAATATCAAAATTCTTTATCGTAGAGATCGCAGAAATGCCATAAAATTTATTGAAAAATGAAATTCAAATCAATCTGTAATAAGCAGACGAGTTGACATAAATCTGGTCTACCCATAAAGTCGATCAATAAAATCTTCAGTGTTCAGACTAACAAATCACTTAACCGGAATATGAAAGTAAATTAAAATCTTAAAAAAACCTACCAAGACAACTAATCATAAACAAAATCGTTAGAACAGAAGTGATTCGGAGAAAGTGGAATCGTTTTGAAGACCTTATCCCTGTTTGAAGTAAGCACTGATAATACTGTTCAGAACGACAATCAAAGTTTTTCAATTAAAATACCTAACTGAGAGAAACCACTAAAATATGGCAATCTTTGTTGTACTGTTCTACGTGGTTACTTTTTGGTTACGCTATTTATTATTCATCTGAACAATATCAACACAAACTTCTGCCTGAAGAGAATGAAACTTCATCAAAATCATCCATCTGAGCTACAAATCTCAATTTATCATCATTTTACTTAATAATGGATATCGGAACTCCTCAACTAAATGGTTTTTAGAAGACTGGGTTTAGTAATAAAAAGTATTTAATGAAGATAATATAGTCGGGTTACGTAGTAAGTAACAATTGACACGCTATGAAGTAACCGATATTCATTTACTTCAATTCATCATGGCATCTCTAGAATTTCTTATACATAAAATTTATTTCAGATGGACTGTTTATATTGACAGATTATATTATCTCATCAAAAACTAATTAACGCTATAAATTAGAACTAAATATTCCAGTAACAATGCAGCCAGTGTGTGTACAATTGTGGATTTCATATAAAAAATATCAAGTTTATAATTTCGAAATCCGGCACAGTGGTCTAGTTGGTTAAGCGCCTGGCGCGAAACTGATAGGTCCTGGGTTCGAATGTGGCGAGGCGGGGTCGTGGATGCGCACTGCTGAGGAGTCCCACAATAGGACGAAACGGCCATCCAGTGCTTCCAGGTTTTCCATGGTGGTCTGGTTTCAATTGACTCATGATTTCAACTGTTGAAATTTCCAAATATTTAGATCCCTTTTGATTTTATGTAAGACTTGTTTTTCTTTGAATTATTCCTCACATACGCTAAAATCATACAATGAGTAACATCATAATCAGAAGCAAAGTACTAAGCAAAAAATAAATTAGCTGAAGATGTTGTAAACCTTCATTGACTAAGGTGGCTGGGACATATTACATTTGACCACAACTTACCCCAGTATGCAATGACAGTTACCATGAGAGTAAACTCAAGAAAAGACTAATGACAATCGGATCATCACATGTTCTGAATCGCCAAGTTATTGACTGTTGGATTGGGACATCTGTTATGGGACAGACTTTCTAGTTGAAGCGGTTAATGATCACACACACCTTAGATTATATGACTCAAAATCAATCTCGGTTATATAAATAGTTACAGTATTTATATTGCACTATACACTGAGTTTCCGATATTGTTCCATACTTTTCACTGTCTAGTTTAAATGGTTCAAATGGTTTTGGACGGAATAGAAGAAGCTTTCGCTTAACAGGCTTCCGTGTCTAGTAGCAGGGGATCACCAAATCCTCCAGGCAGGAACCTAGGTATGTTAACAATAAAACAGGAAAAGAAATTGATAAATCATAGTGCGATACTATCCTTAGTCCTTAAGAATAGATCAAGTTTCCTCTTAAAGGACTCCTGGGAAGTCGCTTGGACTAGCTCGGCCGGCAGCGAATTTCAGCATTTGACAACTCTTAAGGAGTAGAAGTTGTGTCTACATTCCGTTCTGCTATGTTGTGTCTCCAGTTTTTGGGTGTTACCCCTTAAGTTAGTGTTGAAACTAAGCTTAAGTAGGTGTTTGAGAGGATGTCCAGAAGTGTTAAGGATACTATAAGCCATTAATAAATCACCTCTAAGACGTCTATACTCTAATGGGTAAAGGTTAAGCGAATGGAGGCGCTCTTCATAAGGCTTGAATTTGAGTCGTCGAACTGATTTCGTGGCTCGCCGTTGAATACGCTCCAGAGTTTTTTATCCTTTTGTGATGTGTGCTACCTATACGAACAGATGTATGTATCAATAATCTTAAGATTCTTGCTGACAGAAGAGAAAGGAAAACAGAAACAGTTCAAGTAACAACAAGAATGGAAGAACGATGGAGCTTGTAAAAGACAATTCAAAGAAAATGTGCAAATGGTGTTTTCAATGTATTATTTTCATATTTTACAAATGAAGTGTGTGATTTTGCTCTATACAACTAGTTGATTTCACTAACCAAATTTTCGTTCATTACATTGTTTTTTCTTTAATCCTTTTGATTTTCGCTTCTTTTACTTTAAGATTTCGTTCTGATGATGTGAATTAGAATATCAGACCAATCGAATGGCTGATTACATTTTGTTATTGAATGATTTAATTATCTGTAGGTAAATTAGTAATATGCACAGCAAAGGTCATTATCAAAGAAAGAACAAGGTGCATGCTTCATCCAAAACCTAAAAGATATGAAAACGATTGTGTCACATTACACTGTGTTTACCAATTTAAATATGTGTGTGGTCACACATACATAGGGAGGAGCAATCGTGATCTCAAAATCAGTGTGTGAACATTTACCAAAATGGTTGCAGAAACAGATACAATCAAGTGACCCAATAAGAGCGGAGGATAAACATCTATCATCCTCTATTGCTAAACCTAAGGTTGTACCACTGAGCCGGCATCCAGCGGTGTTAATGCCTAAATCTCTACAAAACCCCTTCTGATAATAATCATCTGCTCACTGGTGAGTGACTTCAAGAGGAATTTCCTGGAGATCTAGTGAGAAGCCATTACCAATGGAGTTCAACCAGGTCTCTTGCGAGTTATCAACTCGCTGAAGACAATAGTGGACGATGGTGCAACTTTGTGGTTTGGTTGAAGTTAGACATTAACACCTTTGGATGCCGGCTCAGTGGTCTAATGGTTAAGGGCTCGCGCACGAGTTTGATAGGTCCTAGGTTCGAATGTCGCGGGAGGCAGGATCGTGGATGCGCACTGCTGAGGAGTCCCATACTATGGCGAGACGGCCGTCCACTGATTCCAGGTTTTCCATGGTGGCCTAGCTTCAATTGATTTCAACTATTGGAGTTTCTAAAAATCTCCACAACACCCCTTCCGATAAAAAACATAAGATTGATCTAAACTCGGCTTTTGTGGTGTTGTATAAAAGTGTAAAAGGGAGTATACCAAGGTTTATTGAAGCCTTAGCCATACGAAAATTTAAACCCCCTTTGTGTATTCAAAAACAGTTTGTTCTCACCTTAAGCCTACCGTGGTAATATTGACTTATTATCCAGAGTGATTAGGTTTCAAATTGTGTTCACATTATTATTATTACTGTTATCATTATCCTTATCTCCTCTTACCCCGTTTCCAGTCTAGTTGACCAGTGCTTCCAGGTTTTCAATGGTTGTCTAGCTTCAACTGACTCATGATTTCAATCTGTGAAATTTCTTAAATCTCCACAAAACCCATTCTGATCATAATAATCACCTGCTCACTAGTGACTGACTTCAGGAGGCACTCCTGGAGTTCTCGTGAGAAGTCGTTACCAGTGAAGTTCAACCAGGTCTGTTGTGAGATAGGAACTCACTGAAGACAATGGTGTACGGTGGCGCAACTTCGTGGATTGGTTGAAGTTAGACATTAACACCGTTGGATGCCGGCTCAGTGGTTTAATGGTTAAGTGTTCGCGCGTAAAGCCAGTAGGTCTTGGGTTCGAGCCCCCATGGTGCGGGGTCGTGGTTGCGCACTGCTGAGGAGTCCCATATAGGACGAACCGGCCGTCCAGTGCTTCCAGGTTTTCATTGGTGGTCTAGCTTCAACTGACTCATGATTTCAATCTGTGAAATTTCTAAAATCTCCACAAAACCCATTCTGATTTCATTTTTATATATAAATGCTCTTAACAAGTATATTACGTGTGATCAGATTGTTCAAAATGTATTGCGCTAATATATAACATAGTTCTGATAATCTTCGTCTTCTTCTTATTACATTATCGAAATTAGTAATATCTTTATTTAAATGGAAAATAATTCTTACAAATATTTGAAATTATGTAGTATTTAGAAAAAAAATAGGTATTTATATTACTCAATAATCCTAAATTGATTATGCACAGCATTTATTTGATAATTACTTCTTTCTATTCATAGAAATCTGATATTGGTTTGAAGCTGATATTTTTTGATGGAGAAGAAGCATTCAAGATGTGGACGCATAGTGATAGCTTGTATGGATCTCGACATTTAGCTAAAACATGGAGTAGTACAACATCCAACTCATCTAACAAAACAGAATTGAGTAAAATTGTAAGCAATTCAGATATACTGTAGACATAGTTTGTCTAATAAATAATGTTTTATCATACATCCTGATTTCATACTGTTTAGAATTTTAAAAAATAGAAACTTGAATAAAACAAAGATAACAATTGAGGCAGAATAATATGAATTCGTGATATTTCATGGTTTCTCGTTACTTGCTTACAACCATATATGCATTAAATATAACTATACTCTGTCGTCGATATATTAATGACACACTTCTTATCTGCAACAATCATAAGCGTTCTATTTACATACTCAGCCCCCAAATGCTCTGAGTGTGGTCCCTTAAGAAAACCACCTGTTTCGGTTTTGTCACCCTGGCAGTATCACAGCCCTCACACATATCAAATGAGATTTGTTTGGCGCATATGTATTTGGTGCCTCTTTGTACCAATATCTATGTGTTAAAATAAATAAAATAACAAAGGACATAATGATATAGATTTTACTATAGAACATAAAGTTGAAGGTAAATTCTATTTCTTAGATATTAGAATCAAACGAACCTCAAATGGCACACTACAAAGATACATCCACCGCAAAAATACGTAGAATAGAGTTTATCTAAATTATAACAGCTTTTGTCCAGTAAGTTACAAAAAGGGGATCGTACGAATCCTTTTCGACTGAGCTCATAAACCTTTCTCAAAAGAGAGCCTGGAAGAAGAATTTACCTTCATCACAACTTGCCTACATGAAAATGCAGATCCAGCGAAATTCATCGGGAAGTATGCCAGAACCAGCGTACATGTTAAATATGATATAGTGGTAAAGAAAACCCGCCTTTTATGTCTGCACTTCAAAAAAGATTTGATCACTGGAATAATTAATCATAGGATAAATGCTGCGTTGATGTTTGCTTATCCATCAGCTAGACTGACGACATTACGTGGAGCAAACTTCTCACTCACTCAAACAAACAGAAACTGACAGGTTCTCATTGCTCAGTGCCTCCAACTACATTTACCAATTTACATATACGTGCCAAAGCGCCTACCGTGGAATAACAGAGATAAGTAAATGTTAGAATTTACGGGCACGTTCCAAAGAATTTGTAACTGAGGGGCGCAACAGCTCTAAACATCTAAATAGCTCGGTATTTAATCGAATGCGGGAACACCTTTGACATCCTATCTCAGCCTCTGCAATATGAATCATTTATTTCAAGCATACCGGGTGTATATACCAACCAGAAAGACCACATCGTACCATAAAATATGAAGCAACATTTGTACAAGAATTAGCCAAATGTGGCTGTGAATGAGGGAGATAGTAATTAATAGACAGGCCATAACTCAAGAAAGGTCAATCGTATAATAATAGTTCATAGGTCAAAATAAAACTCATAATAAGAGGGACATGAATATGAACAGTTTAGTTACATAACAATTATACGATAAAAAATATACTCATAGTCTTGGTCCATAAATGGATCCCAAAAATTACCATCTATCATTCTTATCGGGATATAACAGTCAGGAGATGCAGTCACATGGTAGCTGGTGACCAACAATTGGTTCATATGGCTTTTTTCACTCAGGATTCTGGAGCTCATGTGCACCATTGGTTTGGAATCAGGATTTTCCAAACCCCTAGGTGGATCCTCCATATCCACGAGCCCGGTTAAAGTGGCAGGCATTCGCTTTTAGTCCTCTCAATTTCGTAAAAAACACCCCTGTCTTTCACGTGACAGACGGAGATACTCACTACTATACTATCGAGCAGAACAAATGAGTGGAGCTTTTCTCCGGTTTGCCAGAGTAAAAGTAATGATGAATCACAAACGTGATCTATTTATTGAGAAACAGTTAGTAATCAACTAAAGTAAACGAAATATACCCATCAAATCTCAAAATAAAAGGGTCGCTTCCGCAATAAAAGAACACTTCTCTTGTTCAATCTTTCTTACTTTTAGTAATCAACTTATCATCACCGTGGTAACTGATTATTTATTAATTATTATTATTGTCATTATTATTATTATTATCATTATTATTATGGTCATATTTATTTTGCTGTGTGGTCTTCGCCAAATTAATTCTTACTTTATTTACACTAAAATCGTCCTTTCATTTATCCGCTGTTTCATTCACTTAGCTCTCTAATGTTATATAAACTCTTTAAATCCTGTTCAATCAATGCCTAACCCATCCTATCACTTTTTAATTCTAGACAATTACTAACCCATAACTTAATGTTCTTTATATCTATTTTCAAATGATCGTAAACTCTTCACAACCTTCATAATTATCATACAGTCTATCTTATCTGTTTATGGACTTCCTTTAATATATATATATATATATATATATATATATATATATATATATATATATATATATATATATATATATAACGGGAACAAATTATTTTCTTAAGTGACCTAAAGAAATTAAATAGGTCATTATGACAATCTTATTCATGTTGGTTCTTTCTAATGATTTAATTGTAATTAAATAAATAAAGCCTACATACAATTGTATGCTAATATTTCAATCTTACAGGAAATCATTAGCATCCAGAACAGCTCAGTAGTAACTTCTGTAGTTGTGATACTAAGTGATACAGTTTCGAAATCCACAGAGTGGATGAGTACTAACTAAAGTGAGTCAGGTTTATAGTTACCTGTTGATTACATCTAACTATCTAACATACAGAAGAATGCATTAAAATATTTCGTGTTTAACATTGGAAAAATATATTGTGTACAACAGGAAATCCGCATTATTATTTTGTGTTTACGTATTTCTCTGGAAGAATTTAAAAGATGACAAACATTTTCAGTGAAAATAAAAAAATGTTCCTTTTGAATAAACTCATTTTTGAAGGTAGTATTAGTCATGAATTGATGTCGGCTAGAAATATTTAATAGGCCAATGACACAGTGGGGATTGACTTTTCTGTTTCAGTTTAGGTCTTACATGCAGCCTGCACCCACAAATCTACCATAAATTGTGAACTAAGAACCCTTGATTCTTGTAATGGAGGCATCGCCTTTAAACAAGAGGAATCCGACGGTTTATAGTTTAAACAATAATCAATTTGTCAAATAATGAAAATACTATACTTAGAATCGATAAAACGAAGTAACTATACTTCATTTAAAACTGAATTATTTTATTTCTTTTTTAATTGTAAACCCATTGGACAAGCTGGAGGTTATTGTAACTATTGATTTAGAGGAGAATACTAGTGTTTTAAAGTGATGGGTGACGGGTTTGAACCACAGACTGTAACATTGAAATCCATGTACATCTGACTAATATATCCCAAATAGAAAGTAGTGCTTGTTAATAAGAATATACAAATAAATCTATATTTGTTTCTCAGCTTATTAATTATTAACGTGATTAAATAAGAGATTAATCCATCTTTATATCAATCTATACAATTTTTATTAGATAATTAAGTAGATTTTGAACAGACAGAATGTTACTAACCAATTTCAATGTACTATGGATTTTCTTTAGAGAAAAAAAACGTGAACTCTACATTCTCAATCATTTTGAATACTTAACTGTATATTGTTTGGTTACAACACATTTCATATTGATTCATACCATAATATAATAGTGTTTTCATTCTGATTTTCTTTTTCTTCTTTTTTGAAAAAAAAATCGATAGGATCTTTTTGTCTTATTGGATTTACTTGGTGCAAAACAACCTCACATACCAAAGTATCCTTATGAGGATAAAGGAAGTTTTAATATGCTCATTGAATTGGGTAAGGCATCCATAATGTTATTATTGTTTATTGTGGATAACAACTTTCGTTCTATTTTAAATGAATAAGTAATTATCAGTAGTAAAAAATCATTTTGTATTTCATAATTCATTCTGTTAATATTCTGTGCCCTTAATTAACTGAAGTTGCAAATGTGGATCATTGAACTTCAATTCCTTATTATGTCAGTGATATTATATTCACCATAAGACAAGTATCCTTCATTCAAACCCCATTCAACTTTGTTATGTTAAGCAGTCGCGTAATTTCTCTTGATTTCACATGACTATATGTAGCTAAGTGTCGGGTACATAAACCTGTACTCAGCAAATAAGTTACATTATTATTATCATCATCATTAATTGGATCTTTTCAGAGGTTGCTGAAGAATCTCAATTTAGAAAAAGGTAGTTGCTTTATTGTTCTCTGATTTTCTATTATTTTTTTAACTGAGTTTAATCTCTAGTGAAAAATACCATTAAAATAAACTTATACTACATTACTAAATCTTATTTCACCAGTACCTTGTCAGATATATATATACGAACTTATAACTATCCGTAAACTAGTTTACCCTTATTTTCAACCATTGAGTTAATAACTTTTTCATAATTATAAGAGTTTAGTTCGCAACAAATTTTATGATATAATAATGAACAATGTATAAAATAGTGCAATGACGAAAAATGAATGAGTTAATTGATAAAATCGATTCATTAACACATAATTATAAAGATCTACTTCGACTATATTAAAGGTAAAGTTAATAATCATTTTAATGATTAATTAATAAAATGAATATTGAATTTTGTATAATTCATGAACATATAAAAATGTTTTGTTTTATACCACTCACTGAACAAGTACAAGTTTATGTACATAAGTTTAAGTTACACTTTATTTTAGTACTGGATGGATTGTGAGGTTAAAGATTAAGTTATAAGAGAAAGATAGAGAAAAGCAGAATATTTAGAAGTGATTACTTACTTACTTACGCCTGTCACTCCCAATGTAGCATAGGCCGCCGACCAGCATTCTCCAACCCACTTTATCCTGGGCCTCCTTTTTTAGTTCTATCCAATTCTTCTTCATTCTTCTCATGTCTGTCTGTTTCCATTTTTCGGCGTCATGTGTTCTTTGGTCTTCCTCTTTTCCTTTGACCTTGATGATTCCGTATGAGGGCTTGCATTGTAACGCAGTTGGGTGCTTTCCTCAATGTATGTCCTATCAACTTTCAGCGCTTCTTTCTGATTTCTTCCTCCACTGGAAGCTGGTTTGTTCTCTCCCACAATAGGTTGTTGCTGATAGTGCCTGGCCAATGGATACAAAGTATTTGGCGTAGACAACTGTTAATAAGTGATAAAAGGATTTGGTTGTGAACAACGTGGTCTCAGGTACTGTTAGAGATGTGAAGGTGGTTGTTAACTCTCATTCGTCGTCACCGTCAAAGGATATTACTTCTTAAGAGACTTGAAAAGGAAACTAGATTATTAGTGGTTGTAGTGAGCTCTAAGCGTGACTCCAGATCCCAAAGGACAATTTTTTTAAACTGATTACATATGGTGTTTTCATTCGTAGTTCGTGACGTCTTAGCTCCATAGTTTAGAGGCCTTTTCACTAAAAACCGTAATCCATGGGTCAAGGTGATGTGTACTTTTGTTAGGGAGGACGTTTTCTAAACCCCTTCTTCTATTGTGGAATGATGGCATCATTGCAGGCGTTGATTGTTTGAGGGAGACGACTTGCTGGTATCACACCAACAGGATCAGCAGTTCTACTTCACCCTCAATCTTAGATTGCTGCTATTAATAATCTGAACTTAATGAGTATGATGGCTAGTTAAACTACCCGAATGTCCAGACTGAAGTAAATGAAGTGAGGTTCGAACTTTAACGTGTAATTTGAAATTCGATTATTTTAGCCATAATAACCAACGTACAAAACCATATGAAATTTCTCTCATTGTAACTATTTAGTAAATTAACTGGTAGCTTGCTCTAGCATGTTTATCTTGTTTATGGAATTTTACTAACACTTGAGCATGTAAACTACTAGAATGGTTTTTACATTTATTGTTTAACCACCAGACAAGAAACTCATTTACTGAGATAAAAATGATTTCACACAAAATGGATTTGATATCATATATATAAGCTTTTCATCAATTCAATAATAAATATATTTTCGTGATACCGCAATGAGTAGAAAATTGTATTTCTCACGTTTCATGACTTAATGTAAGCCACCGAGATAAATTTAACATAAGTTTAAATAGTTCTTTTGTACTATTTAAACTTGTGTTGATTATATGCTATTTTTGAAGAGATTATGAGTTCACCTAATCTCAGAACAGAACGAAAACTCTGTGACACAAAGACCAATAAGCTAGTTATTCCGACGCGTCCCAGCCCCGCTAACTAGAGAGAGAAGTCCAAGTTCGGAAGAGGGAAATATATTCGACAAGCAGCCAGAAGCAGGAACAACAACAACAACAGGCACAAATCAATCATATATATACAGCATAAAATTGTCTTTGGGAAGCGTTACAAAATAACATACTAAAAGATACAACGAACTAATAGCGTTTAAGATCCTCTCAAGTGGGAAATACGACATGAAGGGGAAAATGAGCTCTTTGGTGCGAAAACAAAATTCAAATTTTTGAAATAGAATTACGAAAGTAAGGTATTTACCAAGTGAGTTCTGATGATATAACATCCCCGGTTATTTACTTTGAAAAAGTCTTGAAATGTCAGAAATACAATTCTCTACTCATTGCGGCATCACGAAAACATATTTATTATTAATTTTCTGCCAATGCTGGATTTATTTGAAACCGTCAAGTTCAACCTTGGCATTGATTCTTACATTCTCTTTAATTCGTTTTGTGTGTGTTTAATAGAAAGGAGAATGAGATCGTTTAATCTATTGAAATCGTCAGGTGAAAATAATCAACCTTATTTTGGCCATGATGTTCGATACCACATTGAAGATGATCATATACCATTTGTAGAAAAAGGTTAGTTACGTTGGCTGCTTGTTATGGCTGATGGCCGCTGACTAAATTCCCGTGACAAAAACAACAGTCAGAATTTGTTTTAACATAGATAACCTTGAGTTCTTATTGGTCCACGATTCTCCAGCTTGGGTTTAGAATTGATCTTATATCGGCGCTCTTTATTTTGCTCTATACCTAAAATCTCAAGATTGTATTTATTCATACCTTCTTTCTATTTCTTGTTCCCCAGCCATTATCTTAATGTCTTTCTCACAATAAATCTGGACTCTTTTTGTCACTTATTTGGTTAATTTTGTTTCGTTGTGGTGATTTACTGTAGGACGTTCAACCAATGCACAGGCTCTTTGTTACTTATTACGAAATACTACTTAGAAACATGAGTCGGACCGAATAGCAGTTTCGAAATTGAGCAGTAATGTAGTGCAAACTGCTTTATACTACTCCTCACCTTTCGATAAACAGAAATGCTTTTCACCTGAACTAGAGATGATAATGATGATGGAATTCATCCCTGTCAGAGAGATTCCCGAAAGTGTCCTCAACAAGATTTATGAAAACTATACGAGTAGTCGAAATTCTTAGATAGTGATCGAATTCCACATCATAAAGCTTTCCATAATCTTTCCCCAACTATACCACTGTTTTAATAACTAATCTTGAATATGTCTAATATCTAAAAAGAAATCAATAACTCTAAAAATAGTGACATTAATATGCAACTTAAATCTCATTAGTGCTAAGATAATTTAAATCATTGAAACCAACCGTGACATCTCTTTTAACCGTATGATAAAAGAATTATAATGAAACTCTATATTTTCAATAGATTTTCAATGAAATATATATATATATATATATATATATATATATATATATATATATATATATATATGACATTTTTCTTCTATATTATTAATATAGGTGTCCCTGTACTACATTTAATTCCATCACCATTTCCAAAAGTATGGCATACAATAGCTGACAATGCTACAATTATAGATTGGGATACATCGATCGATTTATTGTTTCTTATAAAATTATTTGTCAGAAATTATCTACACATTCTATTATGATATATATATGTAAGATGATGGATTCTTTGTATTTCATTCATAACTGTACCAAATTTGTTATATAATAGATTGAATGAGTTTTTTTTTTCAATGGCTTGTATAGTCAAAGAGTAAGTGTTATTACATATAACTGTATATAAATAGACTTTCATAATTATTTACTTATTTATTCCCTTACACCACTATTAAGGATACGTTCTGTTTTCAATTTTCTTCTTTTTATCTTAAATTTTATACATTTATTCATTATTTAAATTAATGAATTCATAATTTACATTAAAAGGTTGATTAGTACAATTTAAAATTATATAATTACAAATATATAATAATAAATTACTAGGTCAATGTATTATAATAAACTTATTTAATTATTAACAGAAGAATATTGTTTGTGTATAGTATAGTAATTTCAATGGTTGAGATCATGAGTTAATTGAAGCTGGACCACCACCATGGAAAACCTGGAAGCATTGGATGGCCATTTCATCTTATTGTAGGACTTTTCAGTATCAGTGCACATCTACGATCCCACCTCGCAAGATTCGAACCCAGGACTTATCAGTTTTAATTGACTCATAATCTCAACCACTGAAATTACTATGATATCCACTAAACCCCTTCTAATATTAATCAACATATGCTCACTAGTGACTGGCTTCAAAATTTATTTCCTGGAGTTCTAGTGAGGGGCAGTGTAGTTCGACTGGGTCCGTTGTGAGATAGTAACTCATTGAAGATAATGAAGGGTTGGTCGCTCAATTTTTTGGATTGGTTGGAGTTAGACATTAACACTGTCGGATGGAGGCTCAGTGGTCTAGAGGTTAAGCTCTCTCGCGCGAGACTGACAGGTCCTGGTTTGGAATCTCACGAGGTGTGATCGTGGATGCTCACTACTGAGGAGTCCCACAATAGTTCGAAACGGTCATCCAGTGCTTCCAGGTTTTCCATAGTGATCTTACATTGATCCATTCATGGTATCAATCTAAATATGAAATAATTTATCTAAAATCAGTCTATATGTGAGCTGTGATCAAGAAATCGACTAATATTGTTTTAAATAAATTTATATGGAGTGAATTTATAAAACTGGTGAGGTAATTAATCATTAAGATGAACAAAGTAATTTCTATAACAGTTAGTATGAAAGTGAAGATGAAGCCCATGTTAAATGAACAGTGATCAGGTCTTCTAAGTATGAAATGTGAAATTGTAATAATAATAAAAGAATTTGATGAAGTTTTGTTCTCTGAGCTGGATGGTTTAATCATGGGGCTTTCATTGTTATTCTGAACGACATCATCAGCACAAGCTTCAGATAGAATTGAAGTGTTTGGATTTCTCCATATATAGTCCACAACTTGTCCTGTAGACCTCGATGTTGATTGGTTATTTGTAATTATCAATCGTCTAGCACAACCTTCATGTAAACTTTAAGGTTAATCCCACTAGCAATTACTTTGTTAACGTCCATCAAATAGGTTTGTGTTATTTTCATTTCAGAACTACGCCCATTTAGCTATTTACATAAAAATTATATTGAAATTCACTGGAAAGAATATTCTAACATAAATATAGATGATTTCTAAACTTACAATTTAATTCACAATCGAAGATAAAACAACTAACTTCAAATGGCTCTTAATTTTCTGTGATTTTCCAATTGATTTCGTCCCTCGATGAAAATCATCTCGTTGATAAAATCTATCATATTCTTATGATTGCACAGCTATGGAAATGCAGTCATCGAAAAAATATCTCTGCCTATTATTCTGGACTCTACAATCTAGAAAGATTTGTATTGAAGGTAGCTACTAGCAATAGAACCAAGGGAATGTGTTTCGTCCGATTTGTAACTAGTCAGTTGGATCTAAGTCCATCCAAGTGTTTATGTTCACTTCGAGATTCGAACTCAGTGTATGCATCTCAAATGCCAATTCGTTATCCACAAAATAACTGAGTCCAGATAGCTCGTTCTATGTATTTAGTAATGACAATGTTTATTGGGCAAACGTCAAAATAATATAAGGTTATAAAATAAAGCAAACCATTAATCAGTTGATTGTTGTGTTTTTTACTCACATTTCACAGGTTCGCATACTTGAATCTAAGATAAACTTCTTAAGAATAGACGTAATAAACAGCTTCCTGTATCTAAGTAGTTGGAGTAGAATTCGTAATTACAATTAAAAAGCTAGAAGTCAAGTATTTCATATATTTAATCACTACTCTATGAAATTCAAATGAAGAACGAGTTACCTCTGTGGGAAACAAGTATGGTGAGAGAGTTGATAATATAACTATTCGAATATTCTAGCTCAAATAAGTGTTAAGATGTTCGAAATAACACTGTGTTTGCCGAAATTCGAGTGATTTATCTGCTTAGATAGCAGTCGAAATGGCGTCTCAAACTGCGAAGCTGGTTGACACTGGTTTGAATCCCATTAGGAACACGATTATCCCTGAGATTACAGACACCCCTTTGCTGATGAGCGTTTACAAGCTCTAAACGTAGTTTCAGGGTTTCCTGACGACTACGTATAACTACTCAACATTAAAAACATAGTGCACCCATGTCAAGTCACTTAAGCTAGCAACCACATCAGAAATTGATGAGTAGAATTCAATAGACATTAAGGCCTAGATAAGCACTACAATAGTTAGTACTTAGTGGTTGATTCATGTAGCTTTTTCAAACTATATTTTACCTTTCCTTACAGACAAAATCGTATTTATACGTATTCTATTCATTGTTTGAACTTTAAGAAATTAGTCAACATCACACTGATCACTTATATAATCAATAAGTATTCAGTTTTATAGACGGTTGCTTTTCTTTAACAAGAACCAACATGATATTTATTTTAAATACTGTGTATGTATAATCTGAATGAATAATCTTCACAAAAGAAGTACTGGTACTGACTTGTGTATGTTTCATTTTATGAATTATCATTCAACCTTGATATTATATGGAATGAATACTAACATACAAGGTTAGCGCTAGTTCAAACACTTCTTAGTTTATAGTTAAAGATATATGTTACAGTGACCTGGTAGATAACATAACGATTTTTTTTAAAGGAAATTTACATGAGTTCGAGTGTAATTCAGTACATCAGTACTAAAATACAATACTACATTCAAATGAGAAATCATAAATAGGACAGAACATGCCGCCTGAATTTTACTCCTAACCGCTATCAAGGATTTTTGTAAAGGTGACTTTACGAAACCGAAACAGAATTCACCTCATGAAAAAGAAGACCAAAAATCATTTAGGTTAGCTGAAAAAAAAAACAAATTTTATTATCTTTTTCAGGAGGAAGTTGATAGTAATAGGCTGAAGTAGAAATTAGTATTTTAAATCAATGAAATAGAGGATGGGTCAGAGGCAGAAAGTTTTCTACTTCAGATTTTTATCAGAATTTCTGTGTAGTTGGAATAACATAACTGGACAATCTAAACTGTAGTTAAGCTAATCAGAACAAACTACGTAATCATTTTTCTTTCATTGTTATTTGTAACTGCTTAAATGCATATATAGGAAGTGATATTTTTAACATAGCTGTGAATTGTTCATAGCTATAGGCTAGTCTTTGTCTTATGATATTCTGTAACTCTATGAAATATAAAGCAAAATGAACAAGCTATATTTCTTGGTGATTTGTGTTTTAACAATGCCAATTCTTTTCAAATATCGCACAAAATTCATTCAGTTATACCGAAATATATACTCCACTTGAAAATACTGACATACTTCTGAGAAACTCAAATACTAATGGAGAATATAAAAAAGATTTATTCATAATTCAGTTTCAAGGACCTACTTAAAACTTTAGTAGTAAGTCACAATATTAGAGAGAAGTTATCCGCTTACTCATATTCAACTGTGTAAACTTGTTCTCCAGTTTATTGAATATAAATAAATATATTATTAATTCCGAAATAAAGAACTATGCTAGAATGACTACTGTGAACTTCTTCAAATTCTTATGAAAAAAAAGGATTTTGAACAAATTAGATTTGGTGAATCAAGGTATATTTGACGATATTACTGGTCATTACTTTCTGGTATCTGTATCCTTCACACCAAAGCCGTATATTGATTGTAGTGTGTGAGAAGGTACCTAATATGGTTCAACTTAAAGAGAACAACATTACTAGCAAATGAGTCTACTTCATTAACCGGAGATTTTTATTTGTAAACAAATATACTAATTTACATACAGATTTACATATAGTGGTTATTTGTTGGTAAATGTTACTGTGAATTTATGTAAAAGAATGTTATACAAGGGTATGTTGTCCTAAATCAAATGGAACTGAATTTTTATATGACCGCACACTTAACCTCTTCCGTAACAATACCATTTTCAAAAAGTAATATCTCACGAAGACACACACTTTTGAGAATTGTATCTGATAAGTCTTTCGTAATCATTCTTATTACAATCGTTCCACGAAACTGTTTGTATTTAAACATTTTTGTTTATGGTCAAATAACCCTCGAAAGAAACGGCTTGTTTAGCTTTAATCGGATCGTGTTAGTTATTATTGAGGAAAATAATCAGATTGTTGATGATGAGGGTTAATATATTCATTTAGTTAATTAAGTATTTTAATTAGATACTATTTCGGAGCATTAACAATTGAACAGTCTATAATATATTATATCAGGTCACAACGTAATTTCCTATGCTTACTCTTCCGTACTCATTACATATTAACTCCATCTCAAGTTTAAGCGACAAGCGAAATCGATGATTCTTTTAAAACATAAAAGTATTGTTATTCATAAGTTTGAATGATTTGACTCTAAGTCACACGCTAAAGTCAACGAAAATGAAGTGTTGTTCGTAATCACTTAAGTTCTATAATATTTAAGCACGATTAAAGAGTCACCTCCTTCTAGAGTCTAATCTTACATTTAATAATACTAGGAATAAATATCAATGACTGTTCATTCTTCACTTTGTTACTAATCTAGCGTAATCTGAAAC